ACTATCAGTTTCAATACATGTCACACTCCAGCTTAAGTTTGGTCTTTAAACATACCAACCCCCACTGCCCTCACCCCACCCCAAGAGTGATTGCTTGGAGGATGAGAAGGAAAGCTCCTAGAACAATGCATTGCCCATCCCGCTATTGTATATGTCAAGCAGCTACTTTCACTGTTGGCAAATACCAAGGTTAGGGTTACCATATGTCCAGGTTTTCCCAAACGTGTCCTCTTTTTTGGTCCCCTGTCCTCCTGTCCAGGTGGGTTTTTAAAATGCAAGCAAATGTCTGGGTTTTTGCTCTGCCTCTGGCTTTTCCTAGGTACTTCCAGTTTGGCTGCTTGGGGCTAGGAGCAGCAGGGCAAGGCGACTGGCTGTTGGGGATCATGCTCTGCACACAGGCCCTTTCAAGCTGTTTGCAGGTAAGAGAGCCAGAGACAGAGAGAGCGAGAGAGCGAGAGAACGTATGCACTTGGGAGCTGTGTGGGCAGCAGGGCTGGGGGGGCAGGGGGCTGCGGGTCAGAGTGAGGGGCACTGGCAGGGCTGGGGGGCACAGGAGCCTGCGGGTCAGGAGTAAGGGACACCACCAGGGCTGGGGGGTGGAGTAGAGTGGGTCAGGAGTGAGAGGCAGCAGGAGGGCTGGGGGGGCTGTGGCTTAGAAGTGAGGGGCAGGGGCAGCACATGGGCATATCACTACCCTCCCATCATATACCCCTTCCCCCTCTCTACCCCTCCCCACTGCCCCCTCTCTCCCCTGCTCCCTCCTTCCCCATGCTCTCCCCGCCCCGCCCCCCAACAGGTACCCTCTTTTTTGATACTGGAAATATGATAACCCTAACCAAGGTGATAGCTGAGCAGTTTATACGAACAGCAACAGAGCTAGTAGGCAGGACACTGCTGTGCCCATTATCAAGCTAATTTCATATCAAGCCATGGCTACCTTGGGCTGATCATAGCCTTGATCAAGTTGGAAGAGAGGGAGATGGAAGTTGAAGAGGCAGAACTGGAGTTACTCGAGTTAATGAACCCTTGGGCTCTGGTATCACTAAGTTTAGGAGCTGACAAAATTTTCTGGCTGGTTACTCCATACTGTTAAATTTGGCAGGCATATACCGCCTCCAATGCCATAACTGCAGGCCTCCCCAGCTCCCCACCCCCTCTCAAATTTCCAATCACATGCCATGATTGCAGGCAGAGGACTAGGAATTTCATTACACATGTCCCCTTACTCCTATTCAGCATGTCCCTGCTTGTGCTTCTGAGGAGCCCTATTGGACACAGCATCATAGCATGAGCTTATGTTTGTGGATTATCTGTGAGAAGCTGCCACACCACAGCTTTCCTAGCTCAGAATGCCCTCCTCTTGCAAGTATAGCTGGCATTGTTCATGCCTTCTGTTATGCCATGCTGAAATGCATGTTGTGTTTGACTGTGCCCTGCTTTACCAAGTGACCCAGATCAGTCTGGACCAGTGACCCCCACCCCAACCTGAAGACATACACTTTGCTATATAAAGCACTAATAGATCTCTCCCAGACCTGTATGTTTACACTGAGGCACTGGAATTAAAAATCATCCTCTGTTTTAAGAAGCACCTTCCTCTGAGCCCCTGAGGACACTGTATGAAGTGAAGGACTTGTAGTTCTGCCATTATTTGACTTGCTCACACTGTTCAAATCAAAGTTAATGGAAGCAATTGTGTTGCCTAGAAACATGCAAATGCACACACGCATGTGCACATGCACACAAACACACACCCCACAAGCTCCTGGGCTCTATTACCATCTCTGTCACAGGCTTACGGTGTGCCCTCCAGTAAGTCTCTTCCCTGGGATATACCAGCTCATGAAACAAACCTCTCAATAGGATAGGTCCTGCATCTCAGAAATGTCACATAGAAGAGGAAAGCCTGAAGGTGACAATCCTGGTCAGGTTCCATGGTGCTAAGCATTAAACTTGTGCCTTCAGAGACGCTTCCTGCTCTCCTGAGGATTTGGTACAGGGCTTTAGTGATCCTCAGATGAAGGATGATATAGAAGGAAAGAACCAAGGGTAGATTATAGACCATTAGGTTAGCAGAGTAGGAGGCCATTAGAACTTCTGGCACAGTCATGGGCAGGAATTAATTCAGTTCACAAAGCAGCAGTGAATATCTCATTCGTCTACAATACTTTCCAACTTAGTGCTTAATAGAATGGGAGAAGTTCTCCCCCTCTGGTGCTAACTCAAGCACTGAGGGAAAGGGACTTTCCCAGCACATTGGGGTCAAGATGCAAGCAAACAGAGCAATCAGATCCCAATTCACATGATTTTAGCAGCTATACCAAACTCCTCCATGTCCTTCAGAGGATTGGAAAGACACCTGCTTTCACCACATTGTCATTTCATTTAAAAAAAGACTGGTTAGTCCCCCCACACCCACACTCCATCTCTGTTTCTTCACATCCTGGCCTAGACAGAGACAGCCCTTGGTCTGCAGAACAAATGGCATTTCTTTTTTTGGAAGATCTGAGTTTGCAGACCTTTCTGGCAGAGAACTAGCAGCTTCAGCACATGCTTATGCTTGGGCTATAAATGTGCCACCCATGGAGGATGAGAGGTAAATCGATTAGCTCCAAGAGGCTACTTTAATTTTCAAGTTGGCAAATACCAAGATGATAATTGTATACTTTGCAATTCCAGCAACAGAACCTGCTTTATCTATTAACTTCACTCAAACCCACCTGCAACAAGGAAGTGTGGACATAAGAAATTACAGGCTCTGGAACTACACCTGGTGGACAAACCATATAACTCTCAACGTAGACAGACCCTAAATCACAGTTGCATGACAGACATTACAAAACCAGTCACAGAACCTGGTTCAACTACATCTGATTCAGCTAAACTACATCCATCGACCTGTAGATATCACATGAGGATCAGGCCCCTAAACGAGATTTAATGTTATGTTATGTATCATGTTATGGGTTGTAACACATTATCGGGTTGTAAAGTGTAATGTCTATCGTGGCTTTCCAAGTAGAACAAAAAAAACTGCATGTGGCTAATTCAAAATCAGGCTTCAACAACTCAATTCTGCATGAAATGAGGGAGCAACATGAAAAATGCAGCATTGATTTAGGATGGTTTCCAGCAGATGCTCTCTGTCATCTGTTAGTTATCAGACTAACACTTCCTGCGCCTGGGACATTTTATTCTATATTCCATGACTCAGTACAGGAAAGATGCAAAAGGAAACAGACTTTAATGAGTAGCTGGATGGCATATCTACCTACAGTGCACATGGAACATGACATAGACAAAAGTCTGGCAAAATGGACATTTTAGGTAAAAATCCAAAAAATGGTACAGATATCCCAGAGTATGAAGTCATCTAAAAACTGGTGGGGAGCTAGACAGGGACAATATATTGAAATATATACTTTTTATTTTGGCACAGGAGGATGGGGGAAAATCTGTCTAATTGTTTGCAGCTGTGAATATTAAAAGAAATTAATAAGGCTTAAATGATAACTCCAGTCTCCCAAATTACTAGCTCTTTTGGACAAGGTTTATGTGAAATCAGAAGTTTTTAGCAGCTAGTCCTGTGACCCTACCAGTCTGGTCTCATAAAGCTTCATTGTACTGTTCAGAGTAGCATATAATCACTACCATACATCTGGAAACCATGTGTAAAGAGTAAAAGAAATGGTAGAGTAGAGAATTCACTGTGCACAGAGGAGGTTATTTCAAGTTTCTTTCTTGCTGTGTGTTCAAATGGGATGAAATAGAAGCAAGGAGTGAACTGATACTTAAAGGTGTCAGCAGTTTTGTTTTTTTGTGTTTTTTTTTTAACTGCAGTCTGTATCTATACAGTCAAACTGGGAATGCAATTCTTTGTGTCTGAGAAATTAAATCAAGCAATTTATACTGTGAACAATTTACAACAGAGCATCATTATTTTCTTGACAGTAAGACTTGGATTGCAATTCTAGACACCATATGATCAGGAACTTTTAAAAAGCCCCCTCAGAAAATATCAAATGGGTATATAAACTCTGGGATGTATTATCCTATCAGGGCCAGAGAGAAAACAAACAAGGCCAGCTGTAGGTTTTGTGAAGGCCCATCCATCTCCCTAGTTGCACATGATAACCAAATGCATGTAAAGTCTCCCACACGTTTAAATACACCTTCCTGTTTGCAGTCTCTTTTAGATAATGGTAACCCCTTTGAGCCCCTATAAGGTTCTCTGCTTCAGTTTACCCTCCCTGCATGAATCAGGAAGCCAGATGTAGAGACAAAATGCATTTTTTCCAAGGGAGAAGCAGGGAACAAGAAGTTGAGGAATAATAGTTTTTTTCTGATCAATCTATGTGGAATCAGCTGGGGAGCTGTTTGTGGCTCTGAATCAGGTGCATGTAGTCTGAAGACCCCAGAAGAATGTGACTGCAGGTGATTACACAGGCTGTCTGCCTGTACAACTTACATTCCTGCCTGCAGAAGGGATGGGACAAAGGATGAGGAAAATAATTGGGATAGAACATAAAATTAAATGAACAGGCAGGACTCATTAAGAGCTGTCTAGTGACTCTAGTTACTGCCTCCTGCAGCCTACTGTCCATTATGCCAAGTCAGTTGAAATTGTTTCTCATAATCAGGTATCTATCTGGTTCTTAAGTCTCTTAAAACACAAAAAGGCATTTTCTGAATAAAATGTTTTGATGGTCTTTACCTGACTCCATCCTATTGTTAGTCAGATACAAAACTGTATATTTGCAATAAAACATATACTCCCTTGCTGTCTAAAAGCTGATGTTGATTTAAAGTTTCTCCAACCATTTGGAGAAAAATGTAAAGAACCACTTCAGTGAATCCCAACTACAAGATAATCTGGAAATAGTTAAGGTACTGGAAACAGATTGGCATTATTATTATTAATATACAGTGTATGTACTATAAAACAAAATGTAGTACCTGCTCTCTTCTGTGGTGTTAGTTACTGGTTCTTCATTGCTTACCTTGGTGGCACTGAGGATTACATCAAAACTTAAAGCCCAGCTTGGGTTCTTCTGAGTAAATATCTCCTGCCCCAGATGCTTTGCCATTTCAGTGGTAACCTGGAAAACAACAATCTCGTAGTCTCCATAAATGACACTTCTGTTGGCAGTAGCTACCATTGCCCCCTACCAACCTCCCAAGTTGCACTGCACAGTCTTTGGCAGAAGTTGAAATCTAATAATTTTAGAAAACAGTTTCTGGCCCTTGTGCTTTATACGGCACAAAATTTAATCATCACTTCTGTAAATCCTGATGAAGGCTCCATAGACCATCTGTTTATCATCACGCTCAAACTTGTTTTAAACAACCCCCATGAACTGAAATGTCCTTCTGATAGACACAGAATAGAATTGTACATGAAAATATTGAGTGTACATTAATTTAAAAATAATTAAATAATTAAAATAAATTGGTCAATTAAGACAGAAGAGTGCCTAATAACAGTGGTGATATGTACAGGTTTCACTGTCTCCTTAAGAGGAAATTAAAAACATTATAAATATTTATTTTTTGAACCACTAAACTGCTCATTGGACTTTTGATTAAAATTTAAGGTTTGACAAATATGTCTGTAAACTAAAAAGTTTTTACTCAGGAAAAAAACTACCATTAACATGACTTCAATAGAACTTTAAGTTTTAAAAGTTAAGCACATGTTTAAATACGTTGCTGGGTTGGGTCACTAATTTTTCCTGACATATTTACTGGATTATCTAACCATTCTCCATCTACTCCTCAATCTAAAATATATTTTTAATAATACTGATCAGTAGAAACTGTAATGAAAATAATTAAACTACACCACCTTGTGAATATTTTAGATTTTTTTATTTATTACAGTGTTCTACAAATATTCCTAGGAGTAGAAAATAAAGCACTAGAAAGCAGCTAGGGCTGAAAGGAGAGCAAAGGGCGAAGTAGAATGTCATTCATTCTAAAAATTTGCAGGCACAAAACAAAACAAAATTGTCAAGTTGTATGTGTATAGTCTAATCCCCAGACAACATTAATCACCCAGCATGAATTAAACCTGGTACCCAGTGAGGCATGGTATGTAATTTCTTTTTTTTTTAATTCTTATGACCCATACTGCTGCTCTTGGACTCTACATGGTAGGAAGGTAGGAATAAGATAGGAAGCATGTGTTTTGCCCTCTATGGATTCATTCCAGAACCTTGAAATAGTCTTCATTGTTAGTACACATAAGCAAGAGCTGCTTACAAAACAAAAACATTCAGAAAAAGGAAAATCACGACAGAGTAGATCTGCTAGAAGCCTCTCTAAAAAGCGGAGTATAGCACCTTCCTTGTCTCCTGAATGAAAAAACAGAATAGGCATGCATTTGTGAAACAGAATAATCAGTATCGTTCTTAGAATCTGTCAGAACTTTTCCAGTGATGTGTTTATATTTTAATTGGTGAAAATATCTGTTTAATAAATAAATATCTGTTTAATTTTAATTGAAATGTGTTGTGGAAATGAACCAATTTTGATGACATCTTATTCTGAAAAAAAAATCAAACTGAATGAAGCTCATTATTATTATTATTATTATGGTAAAATGTTCCATTTTGACATAGTCCAAATGAATACTTTGATTTTTCACTTAGAAATGACTTTCACCTCAAGGGTTTAATTAAAAAAATTAGGAAAACTCAGAATATCTCTTTTTATCTGAATTAAACATTTTGCTTGGAAACAAATGTGTTTCCACATATTTATTCAAGTTAAATGTCATTGCTTTTATTTTTAATCTGATTTAAAACAAAACCAAATGTGAAACCTCAAAGTTCAAAGAATAGAAATCCTGGGTTTCAGTCAGTTCTATTCTTGGGTTGGTGTCTGATTTATTGTTCTGAAATTTCTGTGGGATGTCACAATGAGAGGAGGACAGTATAAGGAAGGATACAGTGATCTAAAATCCACAAACTTGTGTCCTTCAAGGGCCTGTGTACATTCTCACTTGAGGGAGTCAATACTAAGTGGCAACTCCTACAACTGTGAATGTGCAGAGGTGACTCAAAAAGCATTTAAAATTTGAAATAGCAGAGAAGAGGATGCAGTAAATTTCCAGGCAAGAGAGTGGGGAGTTTAAAAAGGAAAGGCTATAGACAATATGGAAATCCCTATAATTTATTTGGAGATGTGAAATATGCTGGGACAGATAAAGATTCCTTGGACAGAATCTGGGATTCCAGCATGTGAACTAATAGTTAGAAATAACTAGGGGTGCACCGATGGAGATTTTTTGGGCTGATACCAATGGCCAATTTTAACAAGCCATATCAGCCAATACTGATTCGATTCAGATATGTAGCCAGGCAGCTTGGACAGCAGCATCTGCTGGTAAGTCTGTTGTGGGGGGAAGGGGGTAGATTGAGGGGGGGGGTAGATTGAGGCCCCACAGTGAGGGAGGGATTGGGGTTGGAGCTGGGGCAGGGGTAGGCGCTGCACAGCCGAGGTGGGGCGTGGTATGAAGCTGCGAGCGGCTCACCTGGGTGTGCGAGGAGGGGGGTGCTCCTGCTGCTGCACGCACCCCGGGAGGGTATGGGGGGCATATGCCCCCAGATCTGCACACATGGTGAGGGTGAGCTGCCGCTGCAGGCTGGGGCTGGGGCAGTGCCGAGCTCACACTGGGCTGGGCTTCACTAGGGGTGGGTGATGGCAACGCTGGGAAGAGGGCTATGCGGGGGGGGAGGGGGCTGCAGCCACCCCAAAATTTGGCATAGCCCCCCAACCCCTCCTCCCAGTGCTGCTGTCGCCCTCCCCAAATGCAGCCCCAGCCCAACCCCCGCACCAGGAAGAGCCCAGTGCTGTCCCTGGCCCCAGCACACAGCAGCAGCCTGCCCTCACCCCATGTGCAGATCCAGGGGCACATGCCCCCCATGCCCTCACGGGGTACATGCAGTGGTGGGAGCCATTCCCCCTCAACACCCCATGGACAAGACACTCACAGCTCCATCCCGTGCCCTACCCTGGCTGTGCAGCACCTGCCCCAGCCCTAGCCCCACTCCCTCCCTCACCATGGGGGCCTTGATCTGCCCACCCCCCACTTCCCTCACAACAGATTTACCAGCCAGACACGGTGGCTACTCCACGCTGCCGGGCTGCGCTCCTGGCCACCTGCATGCTGTTCTGCATCTGCACGCATGCACAGGGAATTTGTCAGCCACATTATCGGCCACATCAGCCAAAAAAAAGGTTGCCGATACTGTCAATTTTCCTTATATCAGTGCCGATCTGATATTGGATCGATGTATTGGTGCACATCTAGAAATAACCTGTCTGGCTGTTGACCTTCTATTAGCAAGTGCCAGTTACAATTTATCTATGAAACTTGCTCCTCAGTAAAAAGTTCCATCTTCACCACAAGAGTTTTAACTATGCCACCCCAAAAGTAGCATTCACAGTGCTCCACCATCTATCTCCTACAGACAGGATTGCATAACATTCTTGTCAGCTCTCCTCTCATTAGACCCTACAGTGAATGAGTGGACAAAGTCTGGCCCATGGGCTGGATGGCGCTCACAGCGGACTTCATTTCCCAGCAGCCCCTGTGTGCATTGCTGCAGCTGGTTTCCATTTAGACCCCAGGAGTGGTGGGGCTATGACAGTGCAGGGCCAGGGTTACCATGGAGACTGCCCCCAGCAATGCTGGCAGGGCACGTGGCTGAGTGGGGAGCTGCTCTGCAGCAGTGACAGCATGGTCTGGAGATAGCGGATCGCAGCTCTGCCTCAGCTCCAGCCTGCTCTGTCACAGATGCAAGATCCCAGCCCCAGCCCCGGCGCAGCTCCCCACCCAGCCATGCACCATGCCAGTGCTGCTGGGGCCCGTCTTCATGGAAACTGTGGCACTGCACTGTCACATCCTTGCCACTCCTGGGGTCTCTATGGGAACCAGCCATAGCAGGAGCTGCTGGGAAATGGAGTCCAGCCACCTGCCATATTGGCCATTTTGCCCACTCCTGCTATAGTGGCTTTGTCAGGAAGGAAAGAATCTACCTGAGAAAGGGACAGTCACTTTGCCTTTACCTCCCTCTTCCCATCCTTGAACTTTGACCTCAGATATTTTTTGTTTCTAAGTCAAGGTGAACCTTTAAGTATTGTTTTTTAAAATGTCATTCTGGTAGCAGTGCTAACAGAAAAGGACAAAAATCAGAAAAAGTGTAATGCACTTTTACTCTGAGGGCTAAGTTACCATATGAGAGCTCTCGTTTACCACGGGGGCATGAACAGGTACCAGAGCAGCTGATAGGCATCAAAACCCTACTCACTTTTGCTCTGCAGGACCTTGTTTGTGGGCTCATATCCACAGTTTTTCAGTGCTATTTTAAGAATAAATCTAAACTAAGTTTAAATATGAAAGAAGCAATGAGAAAAATAGGTTTTGTCATATCCCAGCACAGACACAGTGCTAGTATAATGTTTCCCTTTCCATTACCCAAAGCAAAATATTTAATTTTCTGTGGGTCTGCTCCTGATATTCTTACAGTCCAGGCCTCGAATTCCTGTAACTGGGAGTTACACACAGAGAAACAACTTGGCATGAGGCTCTTGTTTGTCTATAATTTCCTGTTTTGTTTTGCTTTCCTTATCAGAGACAAAATGGACGACTTCCTCAGCCACCCTGTATCAGTGCTGCTCCCTTTACATTTTTGTTTGCCCAGATCTTCATCTTGTATAAAGTAGCTTAGATTAGTTTCTTTGGGCCAGTTCTTCAGCTGGTGTTAACTGGCACATCTCTATTGCAGGCCAGGTCTGAATTTTAAATTACCTCCCCTTCCGTTTACATTGGGTTGCACCATCACATCGATCCAAACCTCTCAACTTGTGGGGTCCTGAACATCCAGATCTGGACCTAAATCAAAATTCTGTGGCTTGAGTCCATCTCTCAGTGAAATACAACTCTCTGTTATGAATTGCTTTTCCCTGTATAAATTTTCTGATTTAATTTCTGATTCTAATATTCCAAGTACTTCTCTAAAAGTTTTGACCTGCAGCATCTCTCTTATGAAGCACCAACCCCTCTAGTTGGGCAATGCATATTTTGGAGCTTTGA